TATATATGATCGATTATAGTTATAGATATATATATATATATAACTATATATGTTTTTAGCTGAATTTTTGCACCGGTTCACTTTTTCTTTCCAAAAAGAAGAGAAAGAAAGATGAACTGCAAAAGTTCAGCTAAAAAAACAAACCTATATGCGAATATAAAATTTTTTGATATTTGATTCATATTTTAACAAAAATCGAATTAAGTCTAACTTGAATTCTGATAACCGATGAAACTTATAGGTAATAATTATTTAGCGATTATTTTAATTATCTGGATTTTGGTACTCAATTTTTTTTATTTTTCGAATCTTATTTAAATTGTGTTAAGAAAGACTAAAGTTTAATTTAAAATATAAGATAAAGATGCATAAAGTTTTCACGTACATTTTCGAAGTTTAAATACGATCTGAAACAATATCAAATTGTCAATACGTTTCGAAACGCATCTATGAAATAGAAAAAACAATACTAAAATTAAAACAATAAGAAAATTGACAAATTACCATTGGTTTTATATAGCAATCTGACGATAGATGTCTTATATATAAGTCCCGTTTTGCGCTTCTAATATTTTAAGCATCATTTGTTTTTATAATATTTGAAAAGGATGAACTGATGCTTTCAGCGTGAAAACAGGATACATCCGATATATAAGCAAATTCATCAAATTATCCAATTCCTCGCCAGTGAAGAGAGTGTGCTTAATTGTGTCGCTTTATTATTTTGGAAGAGAGGTCTGGAAATTCGAGGTCGGAACGACTTTAGATAACGGAGGACATCCAAATGAGAAATTCAAATGTATCCAAGAGAAACATATCTGAGCAACTTTTGTTTTTTTTGAAGACGATAAAATAATCAAGTGTAAAGTATCATGTCAGATAAAAGTAATCAGATGTAATATTATAGAAATTTGAATAGGGCTACATCAATCTTTTTTCTGTAATATTAAGATCTCTCGCACACTAACGCCAACTGAGAATGTGGATGGAAACTACGTATCACTTCTACCTTTCTGACTTTTCTATACTGCTGGTATACATGTAATGTATGTCTGTGGATATATCGTTGTATAATGCGTGTCCAATGTCAGTCGAAGTCTCGTGACAAGCGCGAACCGGGATAGATGTGTTTCGTCTCGGTTTGAGTGTTGCATCATTCCAGATTTTTATTAATCCACCGAGATTATTCATGCTTAATATCAGTATTTGTTGCCTGCATTTTGAATATTTTGTTGCTTTATGCAACTAGTTTATAGCCAGATCGTAGTTGCGAATGTCAACTAAAAGAATAAAAAGAAATGTGTCCATGCTATAACTAGAAATTTTAGATCACAAATATGCATCTATAATTATTTTTTTATATTTATATTTATGTATTTATTTTGCTCAGTAATTCTTCAGAAGATCCCTTGTTCTTAATTTTTGTAATTAACGTGTTTAGTATAAATTATATATAATTACAATGTTTTCAAACAAACAGATTTTTGTCTATGACATAAAAGATTTTAATTTTATTGTTAAATCATGTGAGGAAAATGAATCTTCATTTGATAATATTTTGCGGCAAACATGGAAACAAGCTGAACAAAATAAAATATTCCGATATATTTTAAATATAAAAGATAGTAAAATATTGAAGGGAAAATACAAATTTTTAGCACAGGTATATTTATTGTTATGTAAAAAGAATATATGTTTTATATCTAACGCATAATGCAATGACAATTTCAGTTAAATCCAGATAGAACTCAATATAGACGTGCTCCAGAATCAATCACGTCTATGGTACAATCTTTTAATTCTACACGTTTTAATTTCACTAAACTAACACAGCAAGAGATATTATTTGATATAGGAAATGGCGACACAAATGACATAATTGCAATTAATTCCAGTCCTTTGGAACAGAGTCATTGTTTATTTCTTGCAGAACGTTTAAAATGTTTGCCACAAATCATGACAGAATATAGTCTTTGCAAAGTAATAGAATTATGTCTGTTAAGTAATTCATGGTAATCATTGTTGTGTTGGAAATTTTTATTTAAAATAAAATGACAAAATAATATATCATTTTTTTTTGCTTTAGGTCTTTAAGAGCTTTTTTTAATGGTTTGTGTGCTCTTTCTTCTGTTAATCATTTACACTGGCATTTATATTATTTGAAATACGAGATGCTTCTTGAATATATCGTAAGTAATATTATATTCAATCAATAATGAGTGAGTAAATGAATATGTGTATGTGTGTGTGTGTGAGAGAGAGAGAGAGAGACTTTTAAATATTAATTTTGCAAAATATTATCGACATTTGTTTTGTTTTAGGATATTTGCAATTATGTATCTGGTGTACACTTATTGATAGAGTATCCAGCAAAAGGATTCTGTCTCAAATTATCTGATTTTAAAAATATTGAAGATTTTGTATCTCGTGCATTCGTTGTAGTAAATTATTTACAATTACGTCAAATGGCACATAATGTTTATATTACACGAGCAAAATCAAAATCTAATGATGAATTGTATAATGATGTACGTATTTATATTTGGGTTCGAAAACCATTTACTGGTGTAAAAAACATAACTGCAATTTTACCTGGAGTTTGCGAACTCTTTGGACATTTAACAATTAGTGGTAAGGATCTATGTTTAATACAAAATTTCTCTTATATAGAGAATATAATTATTATATCATATACACATATATCATATATTTTAGATGAAACTGTATACAATAATTTGACACAGGATGATATAATTAATCTTCTTCACGATATTACGGAAGAATGTTTTTTATTAATCAAAGATGAGCTTAAAAATATTTTGGAAAAATAAATAGGAACTATATATAATGTGATAAGAATTTCTGGACAAATATATTTATATGACATTGTTTTCTGTTGATTTTTAAGTTAAATAGCAATAAAATTTCTATTTGCATATTCCATATTTTTTAATTACATTATATATTATTTTATTTTTAATTTTTAATTTAACTAAATAATGAATAAGTTAACGCTGCGATTGGCTGCGATATGCGGTGACAAAGCAAATATATAGCACTTGTGAATATCGGCCTGAAGTATTAGACGTACATTGAAATTAACCAATCAGGAAAAAGAAAACCAATATCAAAATTAGGAAACTTTGCTTTGATTGGTCAAATTCAATCTCTAGTCTGAGTTCGGGCTGCAGACTTTCATGTGTAACAGCCATTACGCAAAATGGTGCAAGCAATTGAATATTGAATTCGATATATATGCAGACATGGAGCAATATGGTTTCTCTAAATTAGTTTCGTGATTGGTTACCTGCGCTATAATAATATGTGAATAATTACGCACGGCCATTTTGTGCCGCTTATACTATCGGAGAGATCTTAAGTTTTGATGTCGAACTCGTCTAATTTGGGGTGCTGCGCAATGTTTTCCCGAGTGTCGCACGTACGATTGTTTATCCGCCATTTTGTTCTGCTATCGTACGCGCAGTTTTCGGTAGCATTGTAATCTATTTTAGGATGAATACACGCTACTGAAGCGAATTGGATCGTGCATCATTATCACTTCATCAATCTTCCGTATATTTGCGGAAAGTATCGTCGCTCGAAGAATGTGAGAAATCCAATTTCTCAGGATGTACCTGTGATGGCAACCCGTGACAAGTTACATCTGACCCAACTTTCCTGACTTTTGAGGCCAAATGACGATTACTAAATAAAACGGACGATTTTCGCTTCGTTCGTCACGTAAGTCTGTCCAGGACATTTGCAGTATGTATATACCAAGCGGCACCAAGTAATTAATATCTCTTTTTGTTTGACGTTCATGAAACATCGAATGTGTTTGAGAGATTGCTCCATATAACATAACTCCATGAATGTTTTTTCAATTTTCTGAACCGTTATTCGATTACCGTTCCCTTTGGGAAGAAACGGTGTCATAAATAAATTCGTTAATCTTACTAATCTTATTGCATTATCCTTCGCATTTGTTCCAATTAATTTTGTTGTTTGTATTTAGCAGCTGTTGCGTAGTCCTTTGGTTTGGTTATATTAATAATATGAGTTATGTATTGGCTGTGTATATTTCACATAAAATTATAGTATAATTTATTCATCTCTGTTAATTTGATAGTAAACATAAATCACGTACTTATATATGATAGAATATAAATTTGTACATTATTTATATATTATTTAGAAAATATATTGAGTAACCTTGTATATACCAAGATATTTAAACATAATTTTCTAACAGATTAGATAATTGCAAAAAGAAACTTATATAATATGGTATTCAAGTGAATTCATTCTTTAACGATTGAAGAAATGCATTTTATCATAACACTGGGCTACGCGCGTTCAGAAATATCACCTAGGTTAGCGTTCCATTTGACGCTTGCTACCTGTGGAAATATTGTTTATCAAATGTTAAACAAAATCAAATTATGTTGGAGGAATGCCAAGTGAAAGATATTCCTGAATGCTTTCATGTAT